CAGGGCTTGCCACCGGTCCTCTGCAGAACTAGCGTGGGCCCCGGGGGAGCCAGCAGCGCCCCCTAGTGCTGTGGGTGAAAGGGAAAACCAGGAGCATACCTCTGCCACCTAAGCTGACCTGCCCAGTGGCGGGCTAGGGCGTTAATCCAGCTGGGACAGCCAACGCTCCTTTAGCACAGCTCTTCCCCCATCACGTGGCTTTCTGGGCTGGTGCCTCAGCCCCATCAGAACCAGGTCGATTTACACCACTCACCCCCAGCCTCCTGATTTCTCCACTGGGCTGCACTGTGTTTTTACATGCAAATAGCGCACACAGCGTGGGCACGGCCCTGGCACATTCCTGGCTCCTCTGAGCAAGATCTTTGTCCTTCCTGCTTTCAGCCAGCTTTAATAAAGTCCAGCACAGGAGAGCTCCAGCAGGACCAGCCACTGCCATGCTTTGTATTAAACGTAGTTTATTAAGGACGGTATTTTCACTGTCATGCTGTACAAATGTACAGCCGAGAGGAATCCAGTCACAGCGTGACCGACTCATCTCTGTATTTACAAAGCGCTTGTACACGCGTACGATTGACATTCGGAGTAGTACATTCTACAGTAGCTTGGCTAACGGGTCAGTAACAGCTTCATTAGTGTTGCACATTACTTAGCATTCAAACCTTCCGCTGTCTCATTCCCGGGCGGGGGTTCCCTCCCGGCCAGAACAGTCCCATCACGAAGGGGTCAATACCCCACAAATCCATTCGCCGGCTCTCCAAGTCTCAGCCGCGCTGCTCAGAGCTGCCTCCAGGCTTAGCCACCGTGGAAACGTTCCCACCAGGTTAAAGTGCTTCAACACAACAGCGTAAAGTTCTGTGTGGCCGGCTCAGAGCTGGCCCAGGCGGGAACCGGCCCTGCAGACCCCCAGGGGGGTTTCCAGGCTCGGCAGGACAGTAGTGCAAGGGCAAACAGTGCAGCGGACGGGATTGGCTGGCAGCAGCCGCAGGGGGAGCCAAGTTCAGAGCCAGCCGGAGGTGGTTGGCCATCAGTGGAGCAATTAGGCAGGAAGCCAGGGGGTGGCACAGGGTCTGGGGTTTTGACAGAGCACAGCCTGGCTGGGACGGACTGTCAGTGCTCTGGATAAGGAGCGTGCAACAGGTCAGCTCTGGGTGGGCTGCTGGTGCCTTGAGCGTGGACCCCACCAGCCTTCTCTGCCACAGAAACGGAGCCTGATGCTCACAGCTCCCCGTGTCACAGGGAATTCTGCCCCTGCGGGAGCTCCTGCTCTCAGGTCTCTCTCACACCACCTGCCGAACCCAGCCCAGCCCTGCCCAACCGCATACCTTGCTGCCAGCTCCCGGGGGTACCACTCATTGGGTGCCTATGGCGCCCTCGGACCTGGGCAGTGGGTGGAAGCCAAGCCCCAACCCTGCTCCTCCCCTTCTGCCTTAGGCTCCGCCCCTGAAACCAAGCCCCTCCCCATCCTTCTGGCCACATGGGCTCTGTCTACGCTCTCAGCTTCATTTGCATATTTCTGGCACAAGAAGCCGCGAGTGTAGACATAGCCATGCAGGGCCAGGGCTGCCATGCTGGGGTCCCAGCCTGGCCCTCCCTGGCAGCCAGGGTTGCCACGGCCCCACCCTTCGGTGGTGGAGCGCGTGGGCCGTTGTGGGAAGGCCGTGCCTTCCTTTGCCTATGGGCTCTGTCTACGCTCTCAGCTTCATTTGCATATTTCTGGCACAAGAAGCCGCGAGTGTAGACATAGCCATGCAGGGCCAGGGCTGCCATGCTGGGGTCCCAGCCTGGCCCTCCCTGGCAGCCAGGGTTGCCACGGCCCCACCCTTCGGTGGTGGAGCGCGTGGGCCGTTGTGGGAAGGCCGTGCCTTCCTTTGCCTACATTACCGGCCGCCCTTGCTCCCTGGCTGCCAGCTACATTCAGCGGCTGAACTGAACCTACGTCCATCCCCAGCCTCCATGCCTGCTCCCAGCGCTCTGCCCCAGAGACAGCCGTGGGTCCAACACGCTGC